TTTTAGTCAACGGCTTCAACCTTCTCCTTTCCGTAAGAACCCTGGTGCAGTTAGTAGAACCGCCCCATCTGAATTGAATTTTTCCCTCCTCTCCTGGCCCAAGGGTAGAGGTAGAGCTAATGAAGAGACATGTGCTTTGCAAGCCACCAACGAGAATTGAAGAGATGGAGTAACTGTCACTAACCAGCAGGGTTGATGTTCGAAATCATTGAGACCCAGACATAGTTAGTGTGACACTGAGGAGTCAGTATTCTGAAAGAAAGGCGTTCTCAGCCCTCCCTGTTTTCCTCTGGCCTTTTCATGTTTTATATCATTCCAGACCTCAAGCCATCTAAAGATTTTCTGGGATAGTTGTTCTAAAGAGAATCTCAAGATGCCAATAGAAAACTTTAACCTCTTTCCCTGATACGAGCTCAACATTTTGATTTTTGTTCATGCAAATCAGATGATTGTGTACTTTCTAGAATGGTGAAGAGTCTTTTGGCCTGTGCAGTTCAGAGTTTGTGCTTTGTGGCACTTTTTGCCTGCTTCAGAGGGACTTTGCCAAATGTTTCATGTAGTCCATTGACAATCCTGGTGCTGCTAAATATACAAGAGTGAATATAATAAATATAGAGGCCATTCTTTGCCTTTCACTGGATTCCTTCAGTGTCTGTACGTGTGAGGTTATTGACAGAATGAGATATTATTTTACAGTGGAGTTCCAGCTGTCCAAGTTCTAAATAACAGGTATGACTAACCCCATGGGGGAAGATACCTAACAATTTACCATGTTTTCTGTGTTAGTGAAAGGTTTCACGCACAGGCTCCGCTATTAAAGCATTAGACTTTCTTTGATTTCTTAATCATTAACAACTTTAGCTTTGATTGCCCATGGAGCTGCAAGCTGTTAAAATTATCATTTGCCTTTTACTAATTTTGAAACCAAGAGCTGTTTCTTCATTTGATGTAGCACAGGTCTTTCTCGGAACGTGTACGACTCCGGAGCACTGAGAATCTACCGTAAGAAAACATAATCTAAAACTATTGAATTTATAAAATAGATAGGATGGAGAAAATACTCTTAAATACTAAAAAGTGCAGTTTTTGAAAAGATTCAACAAAGAATTTTTTTGCATGAGAAAGTGTCTCTGGGTTTTGTGGTTTAGTGTTTGAATAGTGGGTATTTTATGAAGAAGGGAATTTGAAAACGGTGTTTCAATGCTAAAAGGCCAGTTGAAATTCAGCCAGGGTTAACATCATGTTGGACTATCATGAAAGCCAATAGAATGTAAAAAAAAAAAAAAAAATCCTGAAAAAATTTTGTTTATACATAGCCTTTTCAAAACCATGCCCCTAAGATCCTTTACCCATAGTAAATACTCAATAAATATTTGTTAAATTAATTTGATACACGTTAAGACCATTTGGTAGTATGATAAACTGAAATATGTTACCTTGAGCGTTCATTCATTCGTTATTATTATCCACTCACTGATAGTTATATCCCGAACGTAGTTTATTGGGAACAAATAGAAAATTGATGCCTTCGTGTAAAAATATGACTTTTCTCTGATGTTATCGGCATACTTGGACTGGGCTGAAGGAATTTCTATTGGGCCAAATTCTGTGCAGGCTACTCAACACATATCTGGGAGGCTAGTTAAAATGGTCAATTCCTAAGCCCCATCTTTAAAGATTTTGCTGGCTGGATCTAGGCTGAGCCTAGGGCTTGAATTTTTTGGAAAGCTACCCAGACACTGATATTCATTTAGGCTTCAAAACCTAATGTAAGATGGTATCATCTATACCTGTTTCTTCCAGGAAGAATCAGTTACCACAGATAGTTGTCTGGCCTGTTTGGAAGGTGACTATTCTTGACTTCCTGTTAAACTTTGTCTTCAGTGAAGACCCAACTCTGAGGTGATGGTAGTGAGCAGAGGTTTTCCTTAGATCATCAGGGAAACAAGCATCTAGCTTTCCTCTGTCCAGTGGCTGTGATTTCTGGGGATTCTTCATGGGACATGCCAGTCCCATGGAAAGCAGTACACGGAGATAGGCCACTACCTAATTTATTACTTAAAGCGAAGCAGGAAAAGCAAAAATCAGGATTACATGGGAGCTCTCATACTTAGAGGCTCACAAGAATACTCCTCTTGTCTGTGAGCCATCTTGCCGCCCATTATGACCCAGACCACTCCCAGACTCGTCCCCCAAGCCTTCTCTGAGGAGATAAAACCTGTTGACGTCCTGTTGACAAGGTAACCAGAGCGTATCCAGTCATTCCACAGTTCGCCTTGCTATTCTTACATTAGAGTAAATCCACTCTGTTTTCTTTTTTTCCCTTTACCTATCCTCAGATTTGTTCTTACGCACTGACCTGCATGGTCTCTCCAGAATTCACCAACTTCCTTTTTATTCACAGGCTAATCTTGATGTAATTTCCATCTCCTGTATAATATAGTGTACTTCTAATCAGCGTCTCCCACTCCATGTCATTATTAGGAAGCATGATCATACATTAATTACGGTGTACTCTGATTTGGGGTGCTTCCCTAGAATATCATACCTCTTCCTTCCCCTTAGGAATTTCCTCTGTTTATGTCTTTCTGAGAAAGCAGATAATTCTGCCTGCGGGCTTCAGGCTTGGGAAGTACTGTGTGCAAGTAGGTTGTGACACAGCATCATCTGCCCTCTGAAAACTTACAATCCGAAAGGAATATACATCATTTCTTCTTGTTTTTTTTTTGTTTTAATGTCTATTTTTGTGAGAGCACGAGCAAGCGTGAGCAGGGGAAGGGAAGAGAGAGAGGGAGACGGGATCTAAAGCAGGCTCTGCACTGACAGCAGAGAGCACAATGCTCTGCTCGAACTCACAAACCATGAGATCATGAGCTGAGCTGAAGTCAGAGAGTTAACCGGTGGAGCCACCCAGGCTCTCGGACATCATTTCCTTTTATGGTTAAATTTCACTTACCCTTGACATTTGTGCCTACGCAGCATCCATGGTGTGCTGGATGCTCTGCAGGACAGAGGAAGCCGGATCACGCATAGCCAGGCAAAGTCTCATAATTACTCTCCAATCCTGTGTTAAAATTTAATGTAGTTGAAATTTACAGGAAATATTTCCATTTTCTCTTCTGCAGGGTAAATAACTGAAATCCTTTTAACCTCTTGTCTGTTAACTCCCTCAATCCCAAACTCCATGAAGTTGAAGGAAGCAACACGGTTAAGCAATTTTTGCCTGTTCTATTAGTGATCTAAACTTTTGTAGCTTTAAAAGTGGGGGCTGAAATCAAAGGAAACCTGGAATGGATTAAAGAGGATGAAAACTTCCCGAAGGATAAAATCATTCAGCTCTTCCAGAACAGAATGGCTGGCAACTGCTTCCCCACACGAGTACTTGAAGTACTTGCCTCTTAAGTCTTTTTTTTTTTTTTTTTTTTTTGCTTCTCCACGATAATACTTTAAGGAGAAAAAATATTTTTAAAAACTCAAGTTTTTCCATAAATGACACTTCTGGCACATTTTCCTCAATGCACAAGTACTTTGAGAATTTTTTTCCCCCCATGAAATAAAAGGATAGGTTTGAGTTGTTTGATATCCTTAGAGAATAACACATGTTGGCGGAACGGGGCCATCAGAGACGGTAACAAGAATGAAGTCTCCTGTTCACCTTCTGACTTGGTTTGCTTTTTTTAGGTCTCTGTGAGTTACTGTCACATAAGAAAGGAATGCAGATGTCATTATGAGGGATTGTAGTTTTATTTCTGGGAAGGTTTGCTTATCTAAGTTCTCATTAATAACAGTCAAGATGGAGTCCTTTCCTAACACAGCCCGACCGTTCGTTTGCACCATGGCTGTTCATTTCATATCTGTTACCACAGTGCCTGTGCCTTTGCGTATATCTTGTTCGTGTATCGAGGACATTGCGATTCAGAGTAATTCCATGCCAATGGTACAGTGAAGTGTCTGGGTGGAGAGAACATTAGGTGGTTTAGTTTATAAATATAATCAGAAAGGGAGGGGGTTGAATGGGAGAATAAACATGAAGTGAATGCCATCTCTCAGTAATAAGCTTATTGTTGATTTTAATTTTTTTCTTATGGTTATCTGTCTTTTCTGAATTTCTGAAATGAAGGAAAATAATTGAAATCTTAGGAAAAGAAGAAATTAGAGTTGCTGCTTCTTTTCTTATCTTGTATTTGCCCATCTTAAGAGACTCACCTGGGGTGTTTTTCACATGTGCTGTTTCTCTCCCAGTCTTTCCTTCTCGCCTGTGCTGAAGCCAGCTTGCCCTGTCTTAGCAGGAGAGCTCCTGAGTTTGTATAAGTAGGACCTGACCCTAAATGCATACTTGTAGCTGACTTTGATTCTGTTGATTTTTTTTTTTAACTGGTAACCTACTTTGTACATGGAATCGTGCATGTATTTTGCTACAAGCTGATGCTTACGGCCTTTGTTTTTGCAAATGAGGGTAGGGGTCAATGGGGATGAATGTCTTGAGATGTATAGGCAGCTTTAGGAAATATGAAAACGAGTATGGAAGAGTTTGTAGGCCGAATCACGTTTGAGAGATATTAATTAATGGAAAGCCATTCGTTAACATTTCCCAGGCTCTAGCTCCTAGCTCTTATTCCACATTCAAGTCCCAATGTATTTAAAATGTTTTCCCCTTGATCCATTGGCCATTAAAGGTTATGTTCAGACTGCGTATAATCGTGGGCATCCTTGCCACTGTTGTCCAAAGAAATACCTTGTAACTCGTGTGTTCATTGATAAATTTCTCAATTTTTGAAACCTGGTCCCTTTCCTAAGCTTCCTTCTCCATTTTCTTTTTCACAATTGAAAAAAATGTCTTCATCCTAACTTTTTGAGTGTCTGGGGGAAAAAAAAATCCTACAACTATCATGAGTCGTTAAAGAAGAGAGAATAAAATCGAATGCCATGGGAGTTTTGCGTAGTATGTAAAAAACAAGGAATAATTTGGTTTATTTGTTTCTTCCCATCTAATATTTTAGGTACAAGCCCATGCAGAAAGTGGATGGGGTTGCAGATGGTTTCACAGGAAGTGGTCAACAGACAGGCACATCTGTTGAGCAAACTGTAATTGCCCAAAGTCAACATCATCAACAGTTTTTAGGTATGTTAAGGTATAATGCATATTAGTTGCTATTAGGCTGTTGAAAAGAAGACAACAATAGTAGTTTTCTCTACGTGCTGTGTCTGTTACAGATGTTAATTACACAGAAAGATTTGTGTGTCTCTGTGCATAGCCTGTGATAGTTCTAGATCATTTCTACTGTCTCATGTTCACTAGAGCTTTTAAGAAGCGTCAACCCATGTAGGACTTCTAAGTGCATAGAAAACATGACATTGTTTTGCAGAATCTGTGTTCATGGGGTTTTTGTGATGAAAATTCTGTTGTGTCCGCTTTCAGTAGTTTACTTCAAGTGCCAACAAGAATTCACATTGCCTGCCGATAAAGTTGCAAACGTACACTCTCAGATTAGAAAAAAAAATTACTAGAAACTTTGGAAAAGTGAGCTATTCTTGAAAGAAATTTGAAAATTGATCACAATCAATCCTATTTTTCTAAATTTTATAGATGTGTCCCTGTTTCTTGTTATGTAAAGAGTTAAGGCGTGGGACGTGAGCATCCTGTGTATTCCTATGATAGCTTGACGTGCAGAAAAGGCACTTGAATTGACAGCTCTTGTCGAGCTGAACACACATGGTGTCCATACGGCAGGTCAAGACAGACAGAAGCCAACAAAGAGTTTGCGTGTGAGTGAGTCTGTGCGTGTGTATACTTGTCTGTGTGGACTTTTCTGACAAACAGTTCAAAAGGCCTCTAAAGTTAGAGTAGCTACTGACCTTGAAAACATTAGGGCAGCGTTTCCCAAACTGGGGTACTCACGTGTATTCCAGAGAGCCTTGAACCTCTCTGCGAGAATTTTGATTTTTTTACTTGATGTTTTTATTTTAATTAGAATCTGTAAAAATAATAATAATAAGAGTGTCTTCTGGCTTATCTAGAAGACTAGAACGAATACCATTGTGCGGTTTTAGTGAATGCATTTGGATTTGAATTTATGATAAAGCAGGCGCCAAAGTACATTGCATAAATTGCCAGAGCTAATGAGAACGGAACAGGGAGAGAAGGGAGAGACTAGGTAAATTATGTAAATTATGTAATTCATCCCAAGGGAAGTCTCATTGATGTCCCAGTGCTGTGTGGAGGAAGGTTCCACAGCTCATTTGAATATAGAAGAGTAATGGTATAGTACCTGTTGGTACAGGCCTGTCAAATTTGAAAGACGTTGGGTCGCAGTAGTCAATACTGTATTCATGTCGCAAGAGTTAACTTAGCGATAGAACAGCAACGTCACCATCATAGCAAATCAATGTTGCTCAGTTTAATGTCACTTTTGTAAGTTTATGTGTGTTCGTTTCGTACCTCTTTTGGTTTATGATGTTATAAGAAGTACGAGTATAATGAGTTTAAAGCTAGGTTTATTTTTTTATGTTCCTAAGGAACACAGTAATAACTGAAATGGATACTGGCCAGCTCGAGATATTTTTCTCTTAATAGGGGCCCTATGTTGAGAGACATTATGGTCTGTTATTTCTAGTATAATTGTAGCGAAAATTTAGTTCCTCCACAATTTCTCAGTGCCTCCTCTATTCTCTTCCCCTGGATGACGTTGCTACATTTTGTGTGAAACATACTACTATGAGAAGTTGTTCATCGTTGGACCTCTGGCCCTTACGTTTTTTTCCTTTTTTTAGTCCTCTTAAATTTTCCCTCATTAATCTGTAATTGGCACAATCCACGAGAGTTTTTTTCTGTTGTGTTGTCATGGCAACAGATGCATCTCGAGCACTTCCAGAGTTTGGAGAAGTTGAAATCTCTTCTCTGCCAGATGGTACTACCTTTGAGGATATCAAGTCACTGCAGAGTCTTTATCGAGAGCACTGTGAGGTAAGTTTTTCCAAACACAGTATGAATGCACGCTAAATTTTTGCCAGACAACTTGCTATAATAAAATAATCAGGCTTACTCCTCGTGGACAGGTAAAGTCAGTTCATATATCTTTGAACACTAAGCAGATCATCTTTCTTCTTGTCTCAGACTAAAGAAATGACGGATGCAAGAAAGGGAAAATACATTTTACTTTCCATCTCCTTATCATATCCTAATCCGAATCCTTTGATGTGGCAATTCTGCCACCTCTAGGTACCCACCCTTGAAAATGTGCCACCTGGGTGAAGACGTAACTGTACAAGGGAACCCGTTGCCTTACGGCTTTTAGTGCAAAAGATTGGTTGGAGCTTCAACATCTACAAGGGAACTAATAAATAAAACATGATACAGTCTCTTAAGCAGAATACTGTGCCGCCATTAAAAAGAACAGATGCTTCTAGGTGTCCTAATGAGGAATCCGTCCCGGGATTTATTTTTGGAAGAGCGAGATGTAAAACACGGTGTATATTATACTGTCATCTGAGTGGGAAGGAACATGTATATGAACTTCTCCAGCAGAAAAAGCAGACTATGAATGTGTTTATGGCGGCCGCCTGTTGAAGGAAACTGGGTAACTGGGAGTCAGTGGGGAGAGACTTAATTTTTCCATATCCTTTTTAACCTTTTGAATTTCACACCATGACTGTGTTATATCTGTCAAAAATATTTTCTAGAGGATGCCTGGCTGGCTCAGTCAGAAGAGCATGTGACTCTTGATCTCAGGGTTGTGAGTTTGAGCCCCACACTGGGTATATACATGACTTAAATAAGTACATAAACTTGAAAAAAAAAAGAAAGTATTTTCTAACAATGTTTAGTGAAGCACTTTAGGTGTTCTGTCCAGGGATTAATGAGGCTCTGGTTTTGTTTTGTTTTTCTGGTTACTTAGCATTTCTCTTGGTATTTTCCATCCCTGCTTCTCCCCCTTTTCCGAGTGTGCCCCATTAGAACGGACTCCTCGTCTCCAGGAGAGGGTATGAATGCATCTGTAGCTTACCTGGTGGAAAGGGCAGAAAGGGATTGCAAGAAGAATTGTCTTAAGTGCCTTTTTGAAAGAAGAGTCTGTTTACAATTTAAGTAGCTTTATTCCAGGGCTATTTGTGATCTGACCCTTGCCTTTCACGGACAGCCCTCCTCACTGCTGACAAGGCAGTACGCAGTGAGGACTCTCAGCTCATAGCCTTCACACATTTCTTTCCCGCTCCGGAAATGCCAACTGCTTCAGTGAATCCCAGTGCTTGCTAGATCACTAACACCCAAGGCCAAGCCCTCTCTTTGTTCCCAACATTAGTTGGAATGATGACAGACACTTAGTATCCATCTCTCTTTGACCACACCGTGCTTCTTCCAACCTTAGAGAATTTCTGGAGGAGCCTTATGTGTCTAGAAAAAATTTCTTTGTACACAGATATCACATATACTCACGTTTTATCTATAGATTGTCTAAGCAACTTCTCATTTCTCTGTGTTCAGGTGAATCTTTCTTAAAGCAGCCCAACTCACACAAATATAATTTGGATTCTTTTGGAGTTTCTATTTGTTCGAAATACAAGTTGGAGCGTGATCCTTTATATTACTAAAGAATGTGTGGTAAACTTATTCTAAGTGAGAAGCTCCACCAGTAAGATGAGAGATGAAAATATCTTTGGGGCTACAAAAATTTCATTAAAATACCAACATTGGCAATAGCTTGTATGAAGAGATACGGACAGGAATGGTAATCAATATATGTGGGAAATGGCCGTTCATAGAATGATCCCCCTGTATTTCATGGAATTAGAAGCATTGACGCCAGCTCGCGTGACCCATGGCGGCAGGCATGAGAAAGAAGAATTCTGATTGCTTTTTCATGTCAGGCCTCCAGACTTTGGAAATACAGGTGTCCCAGTCTCTTCTCCTGTCCTGTAAATAGCCACCTGCCCTAAACCAGTACAATAGTATTATTTAAAAATACATCTGCCTACGTATTTCAGTCTGAACGTATTTGAAAGTGGGTGGACAAAGGATAAAATGTTTTATTCACTTGCAAAAATGTCCCAAGTGAGGCTGATGTGACTGTCCTTTTCAAAAGAATTATTTGAGATTATTTAATTTGAAGAGAGAGTGCATTTCAGATGCACTGATTTCTTTACTTGCCTTATTTCATATTCTGTACAGTTTATGCTTTTAAAGAAAGATTAATATACCTTTTTTTGTTTTTTGGAATTCTCATGATTTGTTTATCAAAGATATAAGTATCACTAGTTTTGTTATGCAAGGAACCAGTATAATTTTCTTCACAAGCTGCTGCAGCAGTAACTTTTTTTTCTTTAAGCATAGTGTTCTTTTATTTATTTTTTTAAATGTTTACTTATCTTTGAGAGAGAGGGACAGATACACAGAGTGTGAGCAGGGAAAGGGCAGAGAGAGGAAGACACAGAATCTGAAGCAGGCTCCAGGCTCTGAGCTGTCAGCACAGAGCCCGCCACGAGGCTCAAACACAACGAACTGTGAGATCATGACCTGAGCCGAAGTTGGACGCTTAACCAACTGAGCCGTCCAGGCGCCCCGAAAGCTTAGTGTTTTTATATCAATCTCATAGATAGAGAGACCTAGGTATTATATATGATATTAGCAGTAGTTTTATTAATAGCTATCTCTCAGAATGAAAGTTGAAAGAGCAGTATAATGATTTGCCTCTTGAGAACATTTTTGCCTGGGAGTGGGGACATTGATCTGCCTTTTACTTTCAACACTCACATCATAATTGTTCCTAATATCACAGCGTGAGGAGTGTGGTAATTAATTCATCCCTTTCCCTCCATCTTCATTATCCGACTACTTGTAACATTCCCTACTCGTTACCAGAACATGCCCTCAAACGTATTTTGCTTAACATTTGAATCGGTCTGAATATTTATATAGGACAGTTATCCTCTGTATCCTGCATAGGGCCAGATTGACACAGGTGACGGAGACCATACAATTATGAAGTTATAGTTTCCTCCGTTTGCCTCACACACCCAGATCGACTCTCCCGATTGCCCCCTGTTGTCTCTCTGCTTCTATGAATTCTGCTGATCTCGATGGGCCTGTTTCACCTGTCCTGGCCCTCAGTGCTGCCAGCATCGACACGTTACGCTGATGACTTCTGTCTTTTATGCTCAAAATAATCACAGAGTCACATGCTCTTTGCACAAACAAGTTATTCTTTGGTTTTGTGGCTGCTTTTATCTGAAGGCGAATTTATAAACTAATTGCAATGGCAGGGTGAAATTAAATCTGATCATCAAAATTTAATGAAGGGGGCAAATTTTAGCATCATCAAAACCAAAAAAAAAAAAAAATCATCTTTGATGCAGCTGGGAAATGGTTCTGGGAGATAAAATGAAGGAGAAGGAGGATGTGGCTCCTGCCCCCAAGGTTAGAAAAGGGGATGGTCTTAATGCCCTTCTCTAAAGGGAATAAGCAGAGGAAAGAATGAGACGGAGGTGTGGCTTGACCACAGCCCTTATTCCGCCAGGACAGGTGCTGTCCTCTGAAGGCCAGTCTCGTTGTAATTCCTGGCCCAGCCTCTGGTTGCCTGGGAACCCTCTGGACTCCTCGTCAGCCGCCCTAGACAGGCTCAGTTAGCCCTGGCTGTCCACCGTGCACAGGCTGCTCTGCACCCTTCCCTTCCGCCATCTTTGCCGGCCGTGAGCACACCCAACGCTTTGGGGACCACCAATGTGAATCGAATCTTTGTTCTGTGTCCTTTGGGGTCTGAGAATAGGAGGAGCCACAGCAGCCGTGGAGGCAGAAGGGAGCCGTGTGTGAAGCAATGCAAGAAAAGCAAGAGAGGAAAATGGAGAGGAAGGGGAGTTAGGGAGACAAAAGAGAGGTAAAGCGAGGCTGGGATGTGAGGCCATTCCTGGAGGACTACATGCCAGCCTGTTCAGCGTTCCAGAGTTTATGTTCTCCCTGCCTGAGCTCTTCTGTTCGCTTTCCATTGGCCACAGTTACTCCACTTTCACCGTGTAACCTACAAACCCCTCAGGTGCCTCCACCCCTGCCCTCCCAGTACGGAACGCGCTCCTCGCACCTGCCCGTGAGAAGCGTCGTGAGGTAACGCCAGTATAACCATTCTGTTCCTTCAGGCAATACTGGACGTTGTCGTGAATCTTCAGTTTAGCCTGATAGAAAAACTGTGGCAAACATTCTGGCGCTATTCTCCCTCTACTCCAACCGACGGCACTACCATCACCGAATCAAGGTCAGAATCAATATGCTTTTCCGATCCATTTTCTTGGCCGAGTAGATGTCACAGCTAATAAACTGGAGATATGTATACCAGTTGTGAACCTTACCTGATAACCTTAACTGAATAGCTTGAAATGAACCACAAACTGCTCTCTGGAGGTTTCGGTGTGTGTGTGGTAGCTCCCATTTTTATTGATTTGGGGGAACTGCGGTAGAGCTATTTCATCCTCATGGAATTAGTATCACACCTGCCTCTCATGCCGTCAGAAGGTATTAACGTGCGCAGGCAGCTCTGGGGGAGTGTTATATGGACGCAGCCGTACGGACCCCGTGCAATGGTGGTATAGTGCTAACCTCAGTAATATTTGATAAACTAAAACTATTTTTAAAGTCCATTTTCTTTTTTATCCTCATTTGCCATCTATTCATTTGCTACATTTATTCACACCAGCAATCTGAGTGAAATAGAAAGTCGACTTCCGAAAGCAAAGCTGATAACTCTGTGCAAACATGAGTCTATCCTGAAATGGATGTGTAACTGTGACCATGGGATGTACCAGGCTTTGGTGGAGATTCTCATCCCCGACGTGCTTAGACCTATTCCTAGTAAGTTAAATGCAGACAAGTACGGATGCTTTTGTTCTCATACATTCCACCCAAGAAGTTTGGGGAAGGGACGTTGCGATGTAGGGTGATTCTAACCTCATTTAGATTTGCCAAAAAATATATATATATATTTCCAACCATGCAACACAAAGGAATATCGAATGAAAGCAGCTTAGAGCAAAACTGTAGGTAACAGGGAAAGAAACATGATCTGTTTTCCAGTCTTTCATTTTCTTTCCGAGAGAAAAGACAACCTAACGATGTGACGGCCACGGTGACTAATTATTATAAGAGCACTCCCAGGCCAGGCAGCCTTTTGAAGGTTATTCTCCCCAAGGACACAGTTCCCTTCAGAAAGCTAAAAGTTTTTGAAATCTGTAATTGCGAGGCCAGCCTCTTTCTTTCGTGGTTGCTTTTGATTCGAAATGAATTTGTCTTGGTGTCCGCTAAAGTTGAATTCCTCTCTAAAAGCATTTACTTCGTCACCTCCATCCCGTTGAGAACCACAAATGCAGTTTCCATTAACAGTAATGGTTAACTGGCATTTGGAAAGAAAAATCTGTATATATATAGCCACATGAGCATTCCCACCATGAAGCAAATAGGAATTACATAGAAAAATTAGGTTTCTTTTTTAAGGGATGGGATGTATTTAGAACAAACAAAGCCATTTTCTGCACGTGTCAATATAAATGCTACCGTGGATACTTGTGGTAGAGGTAGGCAGTTGAAATGATTTTATGCGGACACCTTTATGGCACATACTAGTGACCTTAACATTTCAACAAGTGGGACAGAATTTCCACTCCGCAGTGACATTAATAAGGTAAAAGCAGTCTTTTAGCTTGTGAAATTGGCAACCATGTACTTCAAGTACACTGTTCACAGTTGATTTATGTTAAATCCTAACAGAAATTATTGAAGGAGGGATTTAGTAGAAGAAAAGGGGAAGATACCAGCATGTGTATGTTTATACTTTCTTTTTTTTTTCCTGAATATGACAGACAACGGTGGAAGATAGTGCTTTCCAGGTGTTCCCCTCCATCTCAAAATATATGCTTAGATACTCATTTACATATAATATTAAGGAACACCCATAAGTTTGTACAGAAATAAGTTTAAGGAAAAGAAATCCAACTGTCATTGTCTCGCATTTTTGTCAATTGCTAGTGTTTTCCACTCTATCTGCACCAAGCTTCCTGACTGACAATTGATTAAAAGTGACGTTGTCATGGAAAATTTCAGTGTGTAAATTCTCTCCTGATTTATGTTCCAGAATCTTGATTTTCCTTGTTTTTGTCTTGCTCCCTGTGCTCTGAGTGATAATCTCTAGAGATGTGTCAGGGAAGTTGCATAGGGGTGGCTCATTAGCCTGTGACCTCTGGCCCATAAAGTACCATTTCTCTCATGAGATACAAGAAGAGATGTCGGTGAACTCTTTCTTTTGTGAGGGAAATCACCAACATCAATTTCTGTTAACACCACAAGACTTATGAAGTCAACAGTTTCCTAAACTAAATCATGTATCACTTTTCATTGACTCTAAGCCTCATAATTTTAAGGGTACAGCAGCACCCTTGACCTTTGTTTTGTGCAAATTTTGATTCGAAAACCAGTTTCTTCTGTCAAGAAATTTGTCTCTACATTTAGCAGATAACTCAACTTCAGGAATTTTCACGTGACCTTAGCTTTATAGCTTCTATGAAGTTACCAGGGACATTAATGTGCTACCCTACAAAGTACATTTGGAAATTTAATTCTGATTCTATAACAAGACTTCACAAACTAAAACTTAAATTACAGCTCACATAGCTATCTTCTGATCATGTGCATTTTAATATCAATCACAAGCAGGCCGAGACAAGTTAGCCTTGGAATAGTTTTAAATTGTAACCCATCCATTCATGAGAAAAAGTTGTCAGAGTCAATCTGCACAATTTGATCTGACATGAATCCCTAGAGAGAGAGCAGACTTAATTTTATTTTTAAAAATTATATTTTCCTGGCTACTAGTACTTCACTCTACCCATTTACTGTCCAGATGGGATTCCTTTTTTTAGCCAAAAAATGTCTTCATATCACACTAATTTGAAGTCAGCTTGAAGCTACTCTATTCTAAAATACATTTATCTGAAAGTGAAACACAGTTATGTGTAAGAATTGTATAAGAACCCAACCAGCAACACTTATGTACAATTATGAGTGTCTGTAAAGGCGGCCCCCAAACTCCTATAGTATAAGAAAGCAAAAGCTTACACTCACTTGATATACAACACATCTTTTTCTCTTATAATCTTCCCTAGCATGAAATTTGTCTAGATAAAACAAGACCCATGCTAAATATTTTTTAAAGTAACTTTTCTTGGTTCTTGGTTTTTTCATGCTGATCAAGTAATGTGTTCTATGTGAATAGTAGAAAACATGCAAAATACAGACAGCCAAGTTGAATTCTGAACAAAATTTTACTGAGTTTCAAAAAGGGTTGTTAATTTTTTTTCACTCTTTTTCATTTCCATTCATGCCTGCCCTCCATGGTTCTAATACATAAGACAGCAGAAAAATATTTTTCTTTCTTTTTTCTTTTTTTTTGGCTAAAGTGGGAAGCTTTGGAAATTTCGCAAGATTCGTTCTCTAGAAATTTCCAAGTCCGTGTTTCCAGTAGATGATTGTCATGGTTAAGAATTGATACTTCTTGAGTGTTTTTCCTGATCAAAATTGAGTCATTTGAACCTCTGTTCTATCATTTGACCAGTGAAAGAAATGATTTAAAAAACAGTTGTTTTTATGATTGGGATAGTGGAATTTGTATCTTCTGCAAGCAACTTGAGCAAGCTAAATTATTTCTAACCCTGCTTTACCAAAAGTAATAGAGAGAAGCATGTCAGACTCATTTGAGCACAGGAAGAAAAAGCAAGGAATTTAATCCCAGCATTAACATTAATATCCTTGGTAGCCTTGGAGAAAAACATAACTTCTGTGTTTCTTACAGTAGACTGCAAATTAGAATGCCTACCACATTATAGGGAACCCACAGAGATTAATTACATGTTGTGGGTGTTCCAGACACTTCTCTATTAAATGTCTGAAACTGTTTCCTACACTGAGGAACGTTGGGTACAGATGAAGTAAAATGCTATTGACTGAATTACTTGTTGAACAAGAGATGAAATTTTTTTTATTATTATTATACAGCAGTCCTAGGAAGTAGATCCCTTCTTGTAAAATAGTTGTAGTCATTCCTGATAACTGATGATGCTTCCAGTCATTTTATGACCACTATAAAAACTACTCTCGTGGGACCCAACTCTCTTTCGGGTCTTAACAAATTCGTGAAGAACACGAACGGACTATTTTAGGAATATCTTAAGAATATCAGTCTCTGTGACAGCAATTTTATCACATTGATCTTTTATCTCAACCTGCCAAGTGAAACGGAGAATAGTTTTCCAAAATTTTGAAATCAGGCAATTTTAATTTTTACCTTTTCAACAAGAGTAAGAGATAACTAATACGATATGTTCTAGCATGAATAGATGTGTAGAGGAAGGGAGAAAGCTTTGCATTATTTTCTTTTAACTAAAGAAAGGAAAATTGATTAAGAGCTTGACAAATCAGGGTGAAGAATTTATAAAGAAAATACTTAGCCTTTGAGCATTAAGCTATTAATGAAAAGAGTGTCTTGTCTAAGATAGAAGATTCCATAAGTATATTCACAACTGGTATATGTTACTATAAGCAGAAATGTTTGAATATTTTCATTTCCCAACAAAGCGTCATAAATATCTGAGAACAAAATAGCTGTAAAGGGGGATAAAAGCCCAAAATACAATTCTTGGATGCTTTCAAAGTTAGGAATAATGTGGAAAAAGTCTTGCCAATGAGGACAATATAAGTTCTGTGTTATTTCAGATGTCATGTACGCATGTTTTCTCCTCTCCTGGAATAAAGATTAATGTTCTTTGGTGTCTTTTTCGTTCTGCTTTTATTCTTTAACATTTAGGTGCCTTGACCCAAGCCATTCGAAATTTTGCAAAAAGCCTTGAAGGTTGGCTTTCCAATGCCATGAACAATATCCCACAGAGAATGATACAAACCAAGGTAAGTTTTTATGTTTTTGCTTTTTCCTCTGTATTTAGAAAATTGTTCTCTATTATGTACAATGTAGAAAATTGTTCTGTATTATGTTGGTATTGTAATATATTGAACTTTTCAAACTGATGTTTTTATTTTTGCTTTATAACCATGTAATAAAGAACTTGCACAGGAGATGTTCTTTGATAATGCTCCTTTCCAAGGAACTAGAGAAGCATTTTAAGTGTGGTGTATTTATAAGCCTGTTTCCAAAGTATATATTTCAGATTGCTTAATTTCAGAAGTTAAAGAGGATAGCCTAGAATGTTCAAGTAGTTTCTCATCTGAGGGAGTTTTAGCTTTTTGAAGTCCCCACCTATACTCATATTGTGAAATGTTCATGTAAATTAATATTCTTTTGATTTTCAGCATGTTTTATTTTTGACACTGGAGAATGCTTTTGTGAATCAAGTAATCATTTCTTAAAGTGAGCAACTGTCTCATAATTGATCAGCATTTATAAGGAATATGGATTGTGTAGCTAAAGAAATGCATTCTGATCTCCACGTTGTCCCCTCCTAACCTTATTACTTTAGGTTAATCTGTGAACATGTCCTGTGGCAAGATTAGACTGATTTTGTCTAAACTTTGTACCAAAAATTCCATTCATGGCTTTTTCTCAATGACTGTATCCACTGTCAGACTTCAACCGCACGCCTTGTTTTTTAGTTTGGTGGCATAGTTGATAGATTTAGTTCTTGTAGCTAATAAGTCTCTTTGGTAACAAAGGTAGCTCCCAGTTCTTTCTGCTTTGACTTAAGATTTGCAGTAACACTTTCTAAAACATACAGAAAAAGAAAAACAACAACAAAACACAAATAAACAAAATAAGAAAACACACAGAAGGAACATTTCATTGATGTGCCCACCGTAGGTCACTGCTCTAGAGCTTTGCGTTTATGCATGCAGTAAGGATATTCACATCGGCTTCTTAAATTTGAATTTTAAATTTAAATTAAATTAGAATTTTAGATCTTCAGTCACACTAGCTGTGTTTCCAGCGCGCCGTAGCCCCATGTGACTAGAGGCTACCATATTTGGCAGCACATACGTAGAACATTTCCATCATTGCAGAAAGTTCTAGAGTGCCACATTGAGGTGAACAAAGAAAGGATGTACTCTTTGATTATGATGGTTACAGGAACGCTTTCCTGTTTGCAAAGTCAGGCATATCCACAGCAATACCTCAAACAGCTAAAAGTACCTCCCTTCCCAGTATTACCAAAGCGAATGTGCTTGCAGTCTAACTACAATGTTGGCCATTTCATCGACCCCCAGAGTCGATTTGGATGATCTGCCTTGGTGGAGGGTGTCTTCTGCTTTTCTTCTGTCACTGATATGCAGCCTTTTTTTTTTTTTTTTTCTTTTAGCTGAGCACTCACTCAATGAAGATAATCTACCCTGTCAGAAGAAGAGCATAATTAGGTTATGACTATTGTTATCAAATATTTTCTACCACTATAACATAGTTTCTGTGTAACCTTGAGCAAGCTACAGAATCCCTGTAAGTCACGATGTGTGTCTAATATGATAGTTCTAAGAATTAAAAACAAGGTAATATATGTGAGGTATTTAACATACTATCTGACACATAGGATATACTCAGTTAATATAAACTACGTAAATGGAAAAAAGTCTTAAGACTTATTTTTTGAAAGAATGTGACTTCTCCCATGTTCCACATAGTCTTGAAACATCTATCAGAAAATAGTATCCTTTGACCTGGGAACACCCTGTATAGACAGTGTAATCAGTTGCTGCTTACATGCCCATCATGATTTAATGGCTTACCGTGCATCCCTGTCAATATGTTAAAATGCTCATTAGGTTGACTTTGCATGTGATCAATTTCCAGGAGATCATGAGATTTAGATATTTACTGAGACTTCTTTTGACATTGTCTTTGATACCTTTCAGTGTAGCCTATTTTATCCAAAGTCTCAGCGGGAAGCAAATGGTATATCCAAAGGGAGAGTAATTGAAAATAATTTCAGAAGGGTCTATTTCCAAAGGTGTAAACAGAGTTAAGAAAACCCAGAAGAATGGTAAAGCACCCAGGGACTGGCAATAGTGAGAAGTCCTGAGCATCACTAGGTCTGAAGCAGGGGAAAGAGGTAAAAGCTATGGCATCAGGAGATCATCTCCTTCCCCCCAAGGACTGGGGTCTTAGACCAGGAAAGCTGGCCTTGCCAAAATAGGGAGAGAGCTGAGGGTGCAGGGGAATACATACTTTGAACTCAACTCTTTTTTCCCATCGTTCTGTCCCCTCCTAGTGCCGATCATTGGCCAAACCCAACTGGAAGCCAGAGTGTAAGGGAAGAAGTTAATGTAGTCCATTCAGAGTAGTCTTTCTGGGCACAGAGCGGAATGAAGGATAGAAGGTAGATGTTGAGGGGCAAGTGGAGAAATCTTGGGTAGCCTGTCTACATAGATTCAGATGGTTGCTTTAAGTCTGATAAGTTTGTTGACTGTATGTTTGCTGATAAAGGCTATGAACACTCTTAATTCACCTGAAAATTTCTCAGGTTTCTACAAGGTAAAGGAAGTAAGAGCGAATATGAATGACATTGCTCTGAAGAGTCCATTTTTTTAAATCCATTTAAAAAAGTGAAGCTATATAGTTTGGTTTTCTGAATAAAAAGAAAAAAATTGTATTTATAGAGTTTGTCATTGACTGTTCTACAGAGAGTAAAAAAGAAGTGAAAATCAACATTTTTCCTGCTTCCCAAGCTAGACAAAGTCATTTCCTGCAAGACTGGTTTAATTAATGCTGCACCCAGATGTTGAAGAACATGGAAGTTTGTTTTAGTCTTGACCTCTACCTATTCAAAAGGAAAACAATACTTGGGTTTAGAGATTTAAATGCTATAATTTACAAGTAAGCTCTCACACGAAATGAATTTGAAATAAGTATCAGATGGAAGCATTTAAAATTTGGCAAGGGAACACAGATTTAAAGATTGCGGTGGTTCCTTTTACCAGAGAGGAAGAAACACCCGCTTTTGATGGGATGTCGTTACAGGTCGCCGCTGTAAGTGCCTTTGCCCAGACTCTGCGAAGATACACGTCGCTCAATCACCTGGCCCAGGCAGCTCGTGCAGTGCTTCAGAACACTTCTCAGATCAACCAGATGCTCAACGACCTCAACCGCGTTGACTTTGCCAATGTCCAGGTACCCTGATTTCTCTCAAAGTGGCTCTTTGGGAGAAAGACACCTAATTTTTTCTTCTTCGTGAGGGAAGTCCTATTTCTTTCCAAAGTTGCATCGGTGCACAGACAGCAGCTATGTTCGCATTGTCCTGAAAGACAAGAGTTTGACCTGGCCACGACTTCACTGCTCCTCTGTTTTGTGATTCAAGTCTGCTGAGATTTATAGTACTAGATGAGAGCAGATGTCAGCAGGGGTTGCTAGATAGTTAAGGAGCAGGGACAGTCACAGTCATTGAAATTAGGTAGACAAGAGATTAAACTCTTTTATCTACTAGCTTTGGGACCTCAGGCACGTTATTTAACAACTCTGGGCTTTCCTTTCTACACCTTATGATACCTATCTTAGATTATTCACATATGTAGGAATACATGAAGTCCTTTGCCCTGTAACATATAAGAGGTGTATGATTTTAATAGTGCCCCACCTTGAGGGGCGCCTGGGTGGTTAACTTAAGCGTCCAACTTTGGCTCAGGTCATGATCTCACAGCTCATGAGTTAGAGCCCTGCATCAGGCTCTCTGCTGTCAGCTCAAGGCCGCTTCAGATCCTCTGTCCCCCTCTTTGTCTGCCCCTCCCCCACTTATGCGCTCTCTCTCTCTCTCTTTCTCTCTCAAAACTAAACATTAGAAAAAAATAGTGCTTCACCTTGAAAGAACTAAGAAGACTTAGAAATCCTATTTCAGAGTGCCTGGTAAATGTTTGTTCATTTGGAAGGAATTAACTAAGGTGTTTGGCTGTTTTGTTTGTCCAAATTGAAAAAAAAAAAAAACTTAAACATTGTGATCAAACTATTCACTTGTATTTTAAGGTACACTTAAAAAGACAGCTAATTTAGGAATATTATGAAATCCCACAAATAGTTTATTTCAGATACTAAGGTGAAGAAATTAGTTGTTACCATGTAAAAATAGTACATTGCTCAAAGTACAAGCAAAAAAAGAAAGAAATGCGTAAACTGAACATAATCGAAAACTTCTGTGCTTCAAGATACCAGCAAATTGTGAAACAACAACTGACAAGAACTGAGAAAATTTTCTACTCCTGAAATCATTATTACATATAAATAAATAAATAAATAAATAAATAAATAAATAAATAAAACATTTAAAAAGAAGAATTGAGAAACTTTTTACAAATCATATACCTGATAAAAAATTTATATCTGGAATATGTAAAGAGCTATCACAACCCAATAATAAAAAGGTGGCCCAGGTAGAAAATGGGTGAAGGTCTCCATAGCCATTTCTCCAAAGAAGATATACCAATGGCCAATAAGTACCTAAAAGGATACTGAACGTAATTAGCCACCAGGGAAATGCGAGTCAAAACCACAGGGCCATACTACTTCCCACATCCTAAAATGGCTATAATGAGACAGATAATCACAAGAAGAATGAAGGTAGTTAAGGGTAGAATATGCTGCCGTAGGAAAGAGGTTACTGATTAAAACGAACAGTTCAAGAAGTAAGAGGCAGGGCGAGCCGAAGGGCATGCTTTTTGTGTTCGTGGTGAAAGATGGGAACCCTCACACACTACTGACTAGAATGCAAAATGCAGCCACTTTGGAAAACAGTCTGGCCGTTTCTTAAAAGGTTATGCATAGAGTTTTACCATAGATGCAGCACCTTCCCTCCTAGGTACATACCAAGAGAAATGAAATGATGTCCACATGAAACTTGTATGTGGACATTCATGGCAGCATTATTCACGTTTGCTGCATGAAAGTGGAAACAACCCAAACGTCCATTCCCTAATGAGAGCTTAAACAAAGTGTGGCATATCCACACGGTGGAGTATCATTAGGCAGTAAAAAGAAATGACGTTCTGATACCTGCTACAATGTGAATGAACCTTGGAAATACTTTGCTAAGGAAAGAATCCAGACACAAAGGACCCCGTAGTGGATGATCCCATTTATATGGAATGTGCAGAATAGATAGATCTATGAGACAGAAAGATCCATGACTGCCTAGATTGGGGGCACCGTGAATTGAAGGGTGACAAGGACACAAGGAAGGGTACTGGGGTTTTTTAGGGGGACATGACAGCATTCTAAAATTGTGACAGGTGCACAATTCTGTGAATGTACTGTAGCAAGCCATTGAATGATAGACTGTAAACAAGTGAAATATGATACGTGAATTATTTCTCAATATAACTTAAAAAAAATCAATACCTTGGGGCGCCTGGGTGGCTCACTTGGTTAAGCACCGACTCGATTTCAGCTCCTGTCTCTCTCAAAATAAATAGATAAACTTTAAAAAAAATACCGTGGCTTAAAAATAAACCATTAATGACTCCATTTCTTAGAAATTTTAATCTGCACTCCTCGTCTACTTTTGTTATTTAAATATATCAAAAAGCCGGGCACCTGAGTGGTTCAATTGGTTAAGCGTCTGACTTCGGCCTAGGTCATGACCTCACCATTTTCAAGTTTGAGGCCTGCATCGGGCTCTCCACTGACAACTCCGAGCCCGGAGCCTGTTTCAGATGCTGTGTCTCCCTCTCTCTTTCTGCCTCTCCCTCTCTCTCTCTCCCTCTCTCTCAAAAATAAATAAACATTATAAAATTAAAATAAATCAAAAAGTAGTATTTGGGCTTGATTCATTATAGAGCATAGTAATTAGTCAAGTTCATTCTGACTTTCATGGATTGAGCTCAAACTCCTAGTTATGTGAAAATTTTTTTAAAAATGTGTCTTTCTCTATATCTTCCTATGTGCAAACATGTATAAATGCACACATGCAAACGTAAAACATTCCTAAGAACAAACTGTCCCAGGTTTGCAAAGCCATTAACTTTACATTGTTCATTGAAATTGACGTTAGCTGATTTTCGTGAGAATATTAAAAGTTCATATTGCCTTAAATCTATCCTACAATGTTCCTTTCAAATCTTCATTCAGAAAAGATACTTTAAAAAGTACCTTTAAAAAAAGTTGAAGTAGTAAGGTTTCAAAAAGTAGTGGAAGCTCAGTAGCAGAAAATATATTTAAAAATGATTCCCAGGGAAAAATAAGATAAAAACAGGGAGGGAGACAAACCATAAGAGACTCTTAAATACAGAGAACAAACTGGGGGTGCTAGAAGGGAGGGGGGTGGGTTAAATGGGGGTTGGGCATTAAGGAGGGCACTTGTTGGGATGAGCACTGGGTGTCATATGTAAGTGATGAATCACTGGGTTCTACCCCTGAAGTCAAGACTACACTGTTTGTTAACCACTTGAATTTAAATAAATAAATTTTAAAAAGAAAATAAAATAAAATGCCTTTTACATATCATTAAACAAAAAGGAAGAATGATTCCCAATAGTAGCTGAGAACAGTTTTCTGTTCTATTTGTGTATCTGTAACCCTATGAAGTATTAATGCAAGTGGGTTCTTCTGGGTTATAACTGCCAACCTTGAGACCATCTTTGCATATAAACGGTGGATCCTGCTTCCCCTCTTCTCATCCTCCGCCCACCACCGAGGCTACCTCCCGCCCACCCGCACCCCCTCCTCTGCTTTCAGCTACTGAGTCCCCCCCCCTCCTCCCCACTCTCCCATTTACGTGACAGTTATATTAGTGCTGGGACTTGTATGCTTTACTATCTGTTCCCAAGACCTTTCTTTCCCTCGGAGGACCAGGAACACAGTGGCAAGCCCTTCACGTCCCTCTACACCTTACTTCTCACACTCGTTTTAATCACATTCTCCTTAGAGTAGCACATTCCATCTTTACTCCCTCCTTTCTTTTCTGTTGGGAGATTTGCTGGGTTTTCCTAGAGCCCTCGGGAGTTCTCGGTCTTCAGTTTCTCATTCCACTTTTATCACCCTCTCCTGTTCATCTGGAAGTTGCCCTGCCCCTCCAAGACTGACCTCAGTAGCATGGGCACCTGTGCGGGCCATGGCTTTTGCAGCAAGGAGGCTTTACATGGAAAACAACCAGGTTACATTTCAGTGTAAGTATCCTAACTCTCTGAAGAGCCCGAAAGTACTAAGAGGTTTCCTTCAGGATATCCATAAATCTTTATCACCACTTTATTCTTCCCTAATTAAATCTTCTTTTCCTCATGGGCTCAAGATGATTTCTTTACTGCCCTATCATTGATTTTCTGTTTTATTTAATCGATAGCATTGCAATGGTATTGTTCTTCTACGTGAGTTTTCCTTCTGCATTACGGGCAAGTAGGTTTGGTAGGTTGACCTGATAAGAGATCATCGCATACACTTGCGTTTGTTTGCTTAAAAGGCATTCTGATTTTGAAGCTACTGGCTCCTTATCATTTGGGATATAATTTATTTGTAAGTTAAGAACATCTCTAATGTTCATCCTTAGCTTTGTCCATTTATAGAATTGAAACGTCCAAACTTTTTCACAAGGGAATATTGACAGTGCACTCTATTATCAGTATGTTTTCAATCTCCATAGTAGTAAAATGGCATATAATGTCATTTGAAAAGCCAGACAATGTCCTGTGGTGTCCTTTGTCTAAGTTAGGTTTCAGCTCCGAATCATCCTGCCTTGCCTTGAAACTAACTTCCAAGTAGATAGTGAGCCTTGAATTTATGGTATGAAATTAAATTCCTCCAAGGATATCAGTGAGTGATCCTCTCCTCTCCCTCCCCTGTTATCAGTGCACAAACAAGAAACAGCCCCTCCTACAGGGAGTATAGAGTTTCAGGTTTGCAAGATGAAAAAGTTTTGTGGGTCGATTGCATAATAAAGAGCATATGGTTAACACTCCTAGACCGTACTCTTAAAAAATGGTTAAGACGATACATTTTATGTGTTTTTTTAACCACAATTTTTAAAAGGCCTGGACATTAATGCAAAGAACAAGAACAAACTTCCTGATCCTTTCCTTGATGCCTAAATTCTTCCCTGGGTACTCTCGATATAAAATTTTCGAGTCATTTGACAGGGCATGTTGAAGGAGCTCAGCTATTCTTACATAATTCTGTCATAAAGGAGTAAGTGCAGAATTTGCAAAGATAATAGTTTCAAGAGAGGTAATTCCGTCATTCTTCCTAATAGTAAAGAATTGGAAGGCGCATGAATGTCCAATGATATGGAACTGGTTCTGTAAATAAAGGCATATTCATGCCTTAAAGCAAATTCAGTCATTCAACAATAAATATAGTTTTGCATTTGCCTACATGGAAATTCAGTTATTATATGTAGGTTAAGTGAAACTAAGTGGGATGTCTACTAGAATGTATAATATGATCCTTTTTTTCCTGTAAGTATTTATATATGCATCAGCACATACCGCATGTGAAAAGTTTGAAAGGTTTATGCATCGGCATATTTTAGTTAGCTCTTAGTGTTGACATCTTAGATATTCTTAGTATTTTGTCCCTTTGTGCTTATTTGTGTTTTCAGCTTTTTCTATAATTCTATTTTAGTGTACTTAAAACATCTGAAAGTGATACTTAGGTAATTCTGAAAGACTTCATGGCTAATAAGTAAGTAAAGGATAGTGGATGGAGTCATCTGTTGAGGATTTAGAAAGTGAAGGTTTCCCTGGGGAAATAAAATAAATTCAGTTTGGGCATTTTGTATTTGAAATGCCTCCCCATTGAAATGTCTGTTGAATAGGTAATGTCTATACTGTCAGAAGAGACATGGGAACCAGAGAATGAAGATTAGGGGTTTATTCAGCTGAAACTATCTATGCGAATGAACTTGTCTTCTGAGGGCTTAGAGAATGGGAGCTATAAACATGCTTTGCAGAAAAATACACACATAATCACAATGTTTTAGATGTAGAATTAGGACCTTCACAGACACCCCTCCACAGGAGCTTGTCTTGAAAACATTACCTGGATGCAGTGAACCTGGCCTCAAAATTCTTGTCTCATTTCATTTCTCTATTTTATGCTTCAGGAGAACGAGGCCCCCGTAGATTACGTGAGTTGCTTGAGGTCAGTTTAGTTGATTCGCGCCCCGTATTAAGATCCATGGCCTCTGACTCTCCGTCCAGTGTTATATTACGAAATAATTATATCTCGACCCTGAGAGTATATACTCTTTAATGTTAAAATGCAGTTTAGCACTGGAAATGTCTTAAAACTTTGAGCAACTACTGAAACATAGCTTTAAAGGTTCTCGTTCCCACTGCCGTTACCAACCATGAAACTTCCCAGTCAGAACCGGAAGGAAAACAGTAGTAACCGAGTTCCTTGGTGGGTAGATGTCTACATTTTCTCAAAAGTAGTTTTGCTGTTGCTGTTGTATTTCAGTTCTGGGCACTTCCCGAAGCCTAACCCTCATATAGCATATGCTTATGCCCAGTACAAGTGAGTATTTGTTTCCCTTTTAATCCTTAGGGACCTCTTTCAGCCAATTGAATCTGTTCATCCATCTAACTTACCCTAAATTCTCTCAAATGGATTGGCTTTAAAGTTTTATCTGACTGGGGGGGACGAGAGAGAGAACTTTTGAAGACAACATAAAAACAGTAGAATGAAAGACTGTAGACTGTTGGCTCAGATTCTCTTTTTCTTGGGTGATCATGTATTTTATTTTTATTTTTTTATTTTTTATTTTTAAAAATTTTTTTAACGTTTTTTTATTTATTTCTAGGAGAGAGAGAGAGAGACAGCGTGAGCAGGGGAGGGTCAGAGAGAGAGGGAGTCACAGACTGAAACAGGCTCCAGGCTCTGAGCTGGCAGTCAGCACAGAGCCCGACGCGAGGCTCGAACCCACGAACCGCGAGATCATGACCTAAGCGAAAGTCGGCCGCTTAACCGACTAAGCCACCCAGGCGCCCCTATTTTTATTTTTAAATGTTTATTTTGAGAGACAGAGAGAGTGAGCTGGGAAGGGGCATAAGGGGGCGGGGAGGAGAGAGAACCCCAAACAGGCTCCATGCCGACAGCGCAGAGCCGGATGGATGCGGGGCTCGATCCCACAAACTGTGAGATCCTGACCTGAGTCTATATCAAGAACTGGAGGCTTAACGGACTGAGCCACCGAGGTGTCCCCGGAGATGGTGTGTTTTGATCCTTTACGCAGACTAGCTGACGTAGGAACACCAAGTCATGGTTTTTCATGCATGGAGGCGATGTTCATTTTCTCGACAACTGACACGTGCACCCGGTTTGCGTGCTGCCGTTGGAGGAACAGATGCGGAGCTGAACTTTTCCTCTTCTCTGTGTCCTGTCCCAGGAGCAGGCCTCCTGGGTGTGCCAGTGTGATGACAACATGGTTCAGAGACTAGAGACGGACTTCAAGATGACGCTTCAGCAGCAGAGCACCCTGGAGCAGTGGGCCGCGTGGCTGGACAACGTGATGATGCAGGCGCTGAAGCCCTACGAGGGGAGGCCCAGTTTTCCTAAAGCTGCCAGGCAATTCCTGCTAAAATGGTCTTTCTACAGGTATCGTGCTCACTTTTTCCCAAGCTTTATTCTTCATAGGCTACAAATACGTGTGTATGTACATGCTTCTCAGACCAGAGACAAGAAACGAATGAAGGCTTGGGGTGCAGAGTCCCCGTTGGGACTTCAGCCCACCCCGCTGATCCCAGCATCATAGCATCGCTCTAGGAGCTTTACGGGAATAATCTGTTAGGAGAACAAGCCTGCTGCTCACAGCCCTGGCGTTCTCAGGCGGGAATGTCTCTGATTCTAGCCTAGCTGCTGTGTTCAGCAGCAGGAAAGGGCCAGTGTCGTCTTCCCTCATGCACACAGGCAGACGTACCACCACTTGCTTGAGATTCCCTAGTGAGGTGATTGCAGACTGTGGTCAGTAGACCCGGAGCATCAGGAAACATATTCAAAAAGTGAATTCTCATGCCCCTCCCCCAAGTCCATTAGAATCAGAAACTGCAGAGCCAATCAGATGGGGCGTAACAATCTGTGCTTTTTAAAAAGTCCCTCAGGTGATTGTGATGTATGTTCAGAGCCATCTGCTTAATTTCTTCATTTTATCAGTTACAGCTGTTTTCAAACCTAGCCGCATGTTAGTATAAGATGAATAAAAATCGTAGGTACCTCCCCAGACTCTACCGAATGAATCAAAATTTTGGTGGGTGGGCATCCTGATGTGGCATAGAGGTGATGAGAAAAATGTCTGCAGAAAGCTTCCTCTTGCTGATTCTAATGCACAGCCCGTTTAAGATCCAATAATCTAGTAGACAGTACAATATGAATCACTTATTGGCCAAAATAATACAGATATAAATGTGTGTTTTTATCAACCTGGAACCTCGGAAGAGAAAGCCCTTCAGGGTATGTGATACATGACATCAGATATTGGGAGGAGGTGTTGACTATATGTCTTCTGCAAGGGGTACAGGCAGAGCCTGCACCAAAAAATACAGGGGATGAAATTGATAGATGGAGTCCATTTCATAACATGAATTAGTTAAGTTTTGTTTCTGACCCTGGAATTTTTTCTTGTGGCAGGAGTTTGGGGAGTTTTTTGTTGTTTTTTTGTTTTCTCCTTTCGATGAAGATGTGCCCACTGCCTTGGGCGTAATGGCCATATCTACCTCGAGGGTTAGGTGGTTCCTAATTTAGATTCTGTGCATTCGTGCAAGTATCAGAAAGTAGTGACCACAGGACACACCAGACTGTGGCCGTGGGCGCACTATGGTCATCGTCTGGACCTCGGGGCTGAATCCGAAGCTAGTTATGCAGCGAGAAGGTATATAAATAAGAGAGTTTAGGGACTAGCCGTACTTGTTAACCCAGAAGTAACTGTAAGATTTCTTGATCTTGTTTTGACCCCCTTCATGAAGATGTAACCAGAGGTCTTTTAATGATGTTGGTAGCTGCTTCGGTTCTTATTGTAAGAGATTTCTTTCTTTCAGCTGATTTTACTTGATTTCATCCACTTCTCATTTCTTAAACTCAAGTAGAGCTATAGATGCCCTATAGATGTTTAATTAAGAGTTAGCTTAATCTTACACCCTGAAAATAGTCTTCTAATGTGTATAGCTCAGGGTCCACTGCAGGAAAAAGCCTTCTCATTTTCTGTTATTGTCTTGTTTTGGGAATGGAGTCATTCCGCAGTTCTTCGACTCCTATGTTTAATAATACCTTTAACCCATGTGACTTGAGAAGTGCCTTATTAAAATGCTGCCCGGCTCTGTGACCCCCCCGGCACACCACAGTAAAACCAGTGATAGTTTAGATCTGGGTGTTAATGAGAAATATGTTGATGAGGAATGTTCAGTTTTCCCTGGAATACGTGGGGAAGATTTGGAAAATGATGTCACAGTGTGTCAAAGATGATGCAGCGATATGCATCGTAATAGTAGAATTCCAAATTTTAATTTGAGAACATTTCTTAAGAAGGTTTCAGGTATTTTCCCATTTGGTTCTGACTCGATGTTTTTATTCAAACATTTTCTTCCCAGAAAGTCATACAGATGGTATATATATTTCATGAATGAGTAATAAAGCCAGTTATACAGACTAGTTAAAAGGTTCTAAAACCTCTACGGCCAAAATAAGGGTGTGTTCTCTATATCAGAAAAAGCAAGGTGTTTATTTTTTTTCCTTCCTAACTGCTTTCTTAGGTTGTTACATCAGACTTGCCCTTACTCCTTCCTGTGGGTTTTTTTTTCTATATTTAATTGATATCATTTTGGAAATTTACCCCTGGAGCCTCCGTCTCCACAGAGATCTATTGCAAGTATCTTGAAAGGAGAGAAAATTACTTACTTGTATGTCTTGTTCTCTGCAGAAATACAAACCCGGCAGACCATCGCTTGTCTGCCCTCTGTCCTCCCTGGGTTGGGGATAATTGGCTTGTTATTATCAGACGCTATTATGGGTATTATTTTCATTTCAAAAAGACTCAAAGGCGTGTAGTTCAGGACCACAGAAGGAAAGGCATATTCAGACAGATGCGTACCTCCTGCTGGTAGGCAAAGTCCACAGCTTAGAAACTTAAGAGCCCTTAAATCCAAACTGTTTTTTACTGAGGCGTAAGAACGTGCTGAGTAATGAAAACTACATTCACAAACTGTCAGAGAAGCAACATTATAGAGGTTTTTCTTTTTTTCCTTCCTTCACGGTTTTGGCGTTGTAAGAAGAATATGGCGGTCACACACACAGACCCTTCATGTTCTGAAGTCAGACAATCTCCTAATTTCTCAAGTTCTGTGTATCTGTTTACGCGCATACAAATAGGGAAATGGGCTAGCAGAGAATCCTGACAGCAGCAGGCTGAGGCATTACTGCGGACACCCCTTGCTCCAAATGGGGGTCTCTCCTTGCCTAACCTGGCTGGGAAGAATGACTGTTGGCTCCCCAGGAGATGGGAAAAAGTATTACCACCTTTCCTGGGCAGAAATGGAGAACTTATGTGGGCCATTTCTCAGCTTGTTTGTTTTATGGTTAACAGAAGAGAACATTCCTCAGAAACACCCTGAGGGTCACCCAAATATCCCATTTTTACAAATTTTTTTAATGTTTTTTGATTTATTTCTGAGAGAGAGAGAGGCAGCGTGAGCAGGGCAGGGTCAGAGAGAGAGAGGGAGACACAGAATCTGAAGCAGGTTCCAGGCTCAGAACCCGACGCGGGACTCGAACCCACGAACCGTGAGATCATGACCTGAGCTGAAGTTGGTCACTTAGCCGATTGAGCCACCCAAGCGCCCCCCAAATATCCCATTTTTAAAGAACAAGATTAAGAGCTTTGATACAGGGACTGGAAAGAAGGGGACAGGGAATGTAGTTTGCTTACACCTGGACAATTTATAAATCTTCCAAAAAGTGATATTCTTTTGGAATCAGCCATATGCACTGCTTGAAAAGAGAGTTTGCATGCGAATCACAGGTGGGATGGTCTCCCTTTTCTTCTTAGGAAGGGTGTGAGAAATTCCCGAATACGCAAAGGGGTGGACTGAGGGTCGTTTGTTAGGGCATATGTTTCAGCGCCCAGACCATACATTTCTCATCTGTTATAAAACAATTAACTTTGTAAGTCAGAGCTTATAAGAAGTTGAATTCATGGTAACTTAGCAACATGAAATTCAACAGAGTCAGTTTTTGCAACCTATCTTACAGAAGTCTGAATCAGGTCTGAATCGGGCAAAAAGTTTCCAATTAAACTGTTAATTGTGTCATTTAATACTTGGCCTGTAGGGCAAAGGCTCCAACATAGAGAGGATACTGATGTCGCGTCCGTAAAATAATTCAACGGATTATTTTTTAAACATGCAATAATTTCATGCTTATGACTATTTCCTAGAAATAACTAGGTGTTATAACTGAAGGTCATCAGATTCTTTTTAATTTCCCAACAGATTTTAGTGTTACAGGTGTATTTTATGCTGAATTCAGGTGACTGCCTGACTGTCGCAAAGTTTCCAAAATACGCAGACTGGAATCCCACGCTCTGTCCTGGAGACCCGACGTGGACCAGCTAGTGGTGGCCACAGACCCTCGGTGTCTTCTTCTCTTTGCGGACTATCTTCCATCCCCTGGCTGTCCTTTCAACACAGCAAGCCTGGTTCTGCCTCACAGTCTTTTCATTTGCTCTCGTTTCTGCCAGGAAAGTTCACAGGTTCTTGCGTGGCTCACTTCAGTCCAGTTTCAATCCAGTTAAAGCCCCTTTTCAGAAACAGCCTTCCTGACAGCCTACCTGAAAATGCTCGTCACCACCCCTCTCCATAGTTTTTGATAGGATTAATTTTTTTTCCTGATCTGTGTTTTTTTGTCCTTATATACTTTTTTCCATAAGAATTACCTAACTTGATACGTTCTATGTGCTTGTGTTTCCTCAACTATTTTCTCTTACTAGAGTGTGAGTTCTGCTAAAACCAAATTTTTGTCTAACTTGTTCTAGAACAAGACCCCGGCACAGAGTAGGAATGCAATAAACATCTATTGAGTGGACGGAGGTAAATTCTCTTGGAAAAAAGCAATTGACACTGCATTTTAGAGTATGATCAGAAAGCAACTCAGTATGAATATTTTCCTTAGTCATTAACACAATTTCAGGGTTTTTCTCTCTTAAGGGAAATATAAAGGCCTAAAATTTGAACTTAGAAATATATATGTAATTCTTTCTATTATCTGTGATATTTATTCCTGCAAAGGTTTATTGACATTCAACTAACGCAGAATTGGATTTTATGTTTATAATGTCATCTTTTAACATAAACATTTTTAAAGTTTATTTTATTCATTTTGAGAGAAAGAACACGGGCAAGGGAGGGGCAGAGACAGAGAATCCTAAGCAGGCCCTCAGCTGCCAGTACAGAGCCCAACGCAGGGCTTGAACCCACAAACCATGATGAGATTATGACCCAACTGAAATCAAGAGCCAGATGCTCAACCAACTGAGCCAACTAGGTGCCCCATGAAAGAAACGTTAAAAAAAAAATTGTTTTAACCTTTATTTATTTTTGAGAGAGAGAGAG